ACCACGTCAGTGTTACTGCACTGCTGTGTCTGATCCACTCGTAAAAAACTGACTTAAAGTTATAAATACAGTAGCTAACAGTAAATAACCTCGTTTTCCGATCTGCAGCTGTATGCTTTTGTGCTTGCAGGATCACACGTGGTGAAATTCCTCATGATGGTCTTTGGGAATGCTCTTAATTCCCACACAAACTTTATGGAGCGGCTCACAGAACGTCTTCATCTCCGTGAAGCGTCTTCAGAGGATGAGAGTGACATCATTATTGCTTTCGTTGCTGTTGTATCTCGGGCTGCAACGGACATTGAAGCTGCTCTTCAGAGAATTCCACAAAGTAAGGAAATTCCTTCAATTCACTACTTATGCAAAACTGTGTAGTTATGCATGAGTTAAGAAACTTATCCATGCTATTTTGCAATTTACATAGGTAGGTTGTGGCAAAAAATGACATAAAAGAACTGTAAAAATAATATTTTAACTACTCTTTGATGCCTGTTTAAAAACATTTCCTCATTCGGGTTACTTCCATACCTTATACTGATGGCGAATGGTAAAAGCTTATTTCTGATTATTATTTTAACACTATACAGAGTCAATAAAATAAGTGAGATTGTTCACCATTAGAGCAATTTTGCCGCTTGAACCTACCACGCATTAGCTATGATGTCACTGAACTGGAGCTGTGGATGTTAGCTATGATCTCACTGAATGGATGTTAGCTACACTGTCAAGTCGGAGCAATTGATTCATTTTGTTTTAATGATTTGAATCATTCTGTATGAGTGACATTAGTAAATTCATAATCTCATTAGCATTTATCTCTCTCTCTCTCTCCTAGCCACCCGGCCTGTTGTTCTAGTGGTGCTCCACCGCTCCTTAAATCCATATGTCGTTCCTCCAGACAGCAGACGGAGTGTTAACAGGAGTGATGTGTTCACTGTGGACTGTCTGTTTAATGAAGGCCGAGGTCTGCTGAGATGTGAGCGCAACGACCGGGCACTGAAAGCAGTTACTGACCACCTGATATCTAAAGGAGCTCCAGTCAGGACGCAGGAAACTGTTAGACTGGTAATAAAAGAAAATAAAACATTATTTATATCACTGTGTTCTAACTCAGATTTTCATTGGCTGCACTGATCTCTATGGTGCAGGCGCTGCTGATCTGACTCTGTATTTCTGTTTTTATGGTCCTGAATCTTCGTGTCTTTGTGAATCGCTGCTCTCGTTGTTTTTCAGCAGTTCCTGCAGTGGAGACGGCCCACAGTCACCACTCAGTACCTGCAGCAGCTTTCTCCAACATATAAAAGAACCATTTTGGTCCTTATTGGGCTCTTTTTTGGCATGATGTCTGGCATACTTATTGGACGCTTTGGGGTTGTTCCTGGGCTCTGTTTTGGGGGGGGTATTGGGGCATTTACTGGGTACCTTGTTCACTTTCGTCTTTATCACAGAGAACTAAACTCAGAACGTGTCACTGTGACTTTACTCTGAAATTTGTAATGTGCATTAAAGTTCAAACTGAAAATACAATCTAAAACAAAATTTGAAATCTAAAAGTAAATTATTGAAAATACTGTATGATTGTATTTAAGTACGTAATAAAATAGCTATTGCTTATGTCTCTAATCCTCTCTGATATTTCTCAAGCTCATGCTGAAATGTACTGCATGATATGAAAATAAAATAATAACATTTTAAATCCATTTAAACTGCTGAACATCTTAATGAGAGGTCTGATGAAGTAAAGGCCTGAGAGTATTTCCACCAGTCCAGCGGATGTCAGGGTGCAGGGGTGGGGTCATCTATAGCATAATATTACGTTTAACTTCATTCATATTTTTAACAGACATTTAACAGCATAATCTGATAAGAAGTCAGACTACAGTCTAAACTGGAACAAACACGAAAACGTTTGGAAACAAGGAACAGAAATAAAGGCTCGGTTAAACCACAACCACAAGTCTTACACTCTCAGGAAAAAAGGAACTAAACTATCACTGGAGTGGTTCCCTCAAGGGTTCATCTCAGTACCTTTGGTCAGGGAACATAACTGTATCATAATCCACCAAAATTATATAACCCTACAATTTCCAAAGAAGTTGGGATGCTGTGAAAAATGTAAATAAAAATTAATGCAATGATGTTCAAATCATTTAAACCCCATATTTAATTGAAATTTTATTGTTTTTTGAAAAATATTTGCCCATTTTGAATTTGATGCCAACAACACGTTCCAAAAAAGTTGGGACAGGGGCAACAAAAGGCTGGTAAAGTTAAAGTTAAGTGTAATGCTAAAAAAACAACAGGTGGTTAATTGGCAACAGGTCAGTAACATGATTGGGTATAAAAGAGCATCTCAGAGAGGCTGAGTCTTTCACAAGTAAAGATGAGGAGGGTTCACCACTCTGTGAAAGACTGCACCATCAAATAGTGCAACAATTCAAGAATAACGTTTCTCAACGTAAAATAGCAAAGAACTTTTGCTTTTCATCATCTACGGTACATAATATCATTAAAAGATTCAGAAAATGTGGAGAAATCTCTGTATGTGAGGGACAAAAACCAGTATTTTTGACCTATTAAGAAGGCCTAGTTGTCTTTTTCATATCTAATCTTTAAAAAGGGCAGCTCCATCTCTGGTACCCAGTGCCTACATTGGTGCTTAACAAACACCTGTTTATACACTGGCCTCCTTGTGGCTTGAGGTTCAAAGGGTTCACCTGACGCCTCTGCTGTTTTAAACAGTTCTGGTATTTTCATCTTTTTTAAGAGTGTGGGAACAATAGTAGAACCCTTTTTTGTGCCATATAGACCCATATCCCACACACGTTCTATCAGTCTCAAGAACCATTTTACCATGCAGAGAACTATTCAAGCATGAAATGGTTCCACATAGAACTCATGGTACTAAAAAGACCAATCCCTTTACTAAAGAGCCTTTGAAGAACCATCTTTTGTTAAGAGTTCTTCGTAATCCAGATAGGCAGCTAGTCTCTCGTTACTATTCCTGAACAAATGCTTTCACTGTTCCCAACAGGCCTAATCTCACCAACCAGCCCGTTAACAAACCATACTGAGCTGTGGTGGCTGTGATAAAGCAGGATGGCACTAAAGTGTGCAGGACAGTGGGGCTCCAGGACCAGGGCTGGGAAACACTCAAGTAACAGCTGTGTTTCTGCAGTGACTTCTTTTTTGAAAATATAAAATATTGTAGTACTTTGTATTATTTGTAACTTTAAAATGGAATAAAGGCTCCACAAATCTGCCTCAGAGGTGTGTTGTGTGATTAGTGAGAGATGTGTGTGATTAGTTTGAGATGTATGTGTGATTAGTGTGTGATTAGTGAGATGTGTGTGTGATTAGTGTGAGATGTGTGTGATTAGAGTGTGATTAGTATTTGTGATTAGTGTGAGATGTGTGTGTGATTAGTGTGAGATGTGTGTGTGATTAGTGTGAGATGTGTGTGTGTGTGATTAGAGTGTGATTAGTATGTGTGATTAGTGTGAGATGTGTGTGTGATTAGTGTGAGATGTGTGTGTGATTAGTGTGTGATTAGTGTGAGATGTGTGTGATTAGAGTGTGATTAGTGTGATTAGTATTTGTGATTAGTGTGAGATGTGTGTGTGTGTGATTAGAGTGTGATTAGTGTGATTAGTATGTGTGATTAGTGTGAGATGTGTGGGCTCCATGACCAGGGCTGGGAAACACTCAATTAACAGCTGTGTTTCTGCAGTGACTTCTTTTTTGAAAATATAAAATATTGTAGTACTTTGTATTATTTGTAACTTTAAAATGGAATAAAGGCTCCACAATCTGCCTCAGAGGTGTGTTGTGTGATTAGTGAGATATGTGTGTGTGATTAGTTTGAGATGTATGTGTGATTAGTGTGTGATTAGAGTGTGATTAGTGTTAGATGTGTGTGTGATTAGTGTGAGATGTGTATGTGATTAGTGTGAGATGTGTGTGATTAATGTATGATTAGTGTGAGATGTGTGATTAGTGTGAGATGTGTGTGTGATTAGTTGTGATGTGTGTGTGATTAGTGTGAGCTGTGTGTGTGTGATTAATGTGTGATTAGTGTGAGATGTGTGTGATTAGTGTGAGATGTGTGTATGATTAGTGTGTGATGTGTGTGTGTGATTAGTGTGTGATTAGTGTGAGATGTGTGTATGATTAGTGTGTGATGTGTGTGTGTGATTAGTGTGTGATTAGTGTGAGATGTGTGTATGATTAGTGTGTGATTAGTGTGTGATTAGCGTGAGATGTGTGTGTGATGTGTGTGTGATTAGTGTGTGATTAGTGTGAGATGTGTGTGTGATTAATGTGTGATTAGTGTGAGATGTGTGTGTGATTAGTGTGTGATTAGAGTGTGATTAATGCGTGACTAGTGTGTGATTAGTGTGAAATGTGTGTGTGATTAGTGTGTGATTAGAGTGTGATTAATGTGTGACTAGTGTGTGATTAGTGTGAGATGTGTGTGTGATTAGTGTGTGATTAGAGTGTGATTAATGCGTGACTAGTGTGTGATTAGTGTGAAATGTGTGTGATTAGTGTGTGATTAGAGTGTGATTAATGTGTGACTAGTGTGTGATTAGTGTGAGATGTGTGTGTGATTAGTGTGTGATTAGTGTGAGATGTGTGTGTGTGATTACTGTGTGACTAGTGTGTGATTAGTGTGAGATGTGTGTGCGATTAGTGTGTGATTAGTGCGTGATTAGTGTGAGATGTGTGTGTGTGTGTGATTAGTGTGTGACTAGTGTGTGATTAGTGTGAGATGTGTGTGTGTGTGATTAGTGTGTGATTAGTGTGAGATGTGTGTGTGATTAGTGTGTGATGTGTGTGTGATTAGTGTGTGATTAGAGTGTGATTAAAGTAATTTGGCCGATTTTTCTGCTGCTGCTACAAAAACAAGTGAAACACAAGCGAAACTGAAAGCTCTTCAGGTTTTCCCACGGGTATTCCTGCTAGAAGCCTCCTGCTCTCTGATTGGCTAACAACTCCTCTTCACAAACAGTCCACCAACAGGACTTGGGCGGGGCTTGGCTGAATACGGGTGGGGGCAGAAACGACCCCACTGCGAGAGAAAAACAACACGGACTCCTGAAATCCGCCGACATGGTTGAAGGTTTGTGAATCTTTCCCTCGTTTTGTGGCTGTTTTATAACCCTTACAGAGCAGCTCAGTCATTACAAAGGGCGGACAGACAGGTGAACGAGTTAACGTGGTCCGTCTGTCGGTGTTGGTTTCTCTTTTATCAGTCGTGTCTTTCGATGACCAGTGAAGACTCATGTTCACCACAGTAACGTGCTCACCTTCGCGGTTTGGGTGACATTTAACGTTCCTCTGTTTTTGTGTTAATATCGAAAAACTGAGAAAACATTTCCATCTGAATGACACGCGCGTAAAAAGTGGTGGGCAGTTCTGGCCACAGCTCAAAGTCAACAGGTCCAGATGAGTACAGACGCAGTGGTTTTGGAGCTGTTGACTTTTTTTAAAAGCGGTATCTGCAGTTACAATAACAATAACAGTAAAATGTGTAAGGAAAAATAAATTAAGTGAAAGGATTAGGAGGAAATTAGGTGGTCAGTAAAGATTTACATATTCATGACAGTCCGACCACAGAGAGTGATGCACACCTGTGCCTTTGCAGTTCGGGTGACATTTAACGTACCGCTATTTTGTGTTAATACCATAGAAATGAGACAAAGTTCTTCAGTCGGAAGGAAAATCATGCACTTCTAGACCACGCCTACATCCGTGCACACATTCACTTTCCTCCTAATCCTTTCAGTGCATTTTAAATACACATTTTACTGTTATTGTTATTGTAACTGCAGATACCGCTTTGAAAAAAGTCAACAGCTCCAAAACCACTTCGTCTGTACTCATCTGGACCTGTTGACTTTGAGCTGTGGCCAGAACTGCCCACCACTTTTATTTTGAAAAAGGAGTTAACTGTTAACTAACTGGTACCTAACAAATGTACTGGCCATTACTTATTCTAACAGTAGTGAGTATACCTTACCTGTAAAGTACATTTAAATACACCACTATGACTTTATTTGCAGGGAGTAAACAATTATTGTTGGTAATACTGAATACTGTTATTATGGAATTGAGCCAATGGGACAGAGCCAAGTGTTTTACAATGACTAGGTAGACTAGACTTCAGATTCATGGTGTAGTTGATCTTATACACACACACACTCACATTTTCTGAAACCGCTTATCCTTCTAGGTCACGGGGGTTTATATTTATAAATGCAAAGGCTACTTTATATTATTTCATTAATATTTTAAATTTCAATAGCATTTCAACTAAATTACATGCAATAAAATCAACTGTGAGTAGTGCAACTAGGTGCCGGTAAAGATGTCCAACCTTTGTATGTAATGCAATAACTGCATTATACACATTTTTCCATTTTGAATTTCATTTCAGTAGCAGTTACGCTATAATCAACTGTACAGTGCTGTTAAAAAGTATTCACCCCCTTCCCAGTTTCTTCTGTTTTTGCATATTTGTCACACTTTGTTGCTGTCACTGTTTCAGATCATCAAACTACTTTTAATAGTTCATCAGTTCAGTATCAGTTTGGGCTGATGTTTGTGTGGTTAAAAGTAAAAGCGCACCATTATCCGTCCTGTGAAACTGTTGGAGCTGGACTAGTTTAACCAGAGGAGGCCCAGTAATGTAATTTGAGCATGATCTGACTGTCTGATTCACATGGGATAAAGGATCTGTGTAATTTTCCCAGATTGCCTTAAATTATACCAAACAGCCCAGTTCAGCATCCTGTGGAATTAAACAGGCTATTTTTGTTTCTGTGCCTTTATGCAAATAAGCTCTGTTCTGATTGGCTGCTCTGTATTGTGCCTCATTAAAAAGCAGTCTGAGCTAAAATACTCCTCAGAACTTCAGTGTGAGTGGGCGGAGCTGAACGAATGTAGACTGAATAGATCCTCATGACATCACAGAAAGGATGAATTCAAAACAGTCTGTTTTTGCAGCGAAGCTTACGTAACCAGACTGTACAGACTGGAGAGTGAACACTGTCCTCAGACTGTAACTGTGTGTGTTTCTCTCTCCAGGATCGCGTGTGGTGAACTACTTCATGATGGTGTTTGGGAATACTCTTTATTCCCACATACACTTTATGGACCGCCTCACTACACGTCTGGAGCTCCATGAAGTGACTGACCTGGAAAAGAGCGACAGCATTATTGCTTTTGTCGTTGTTGCGTCTCGAGCTGGAACCGACCTTGAAGCTGCTCTTAGGAAAATTCCACAATGTAAGACACTTCCTTCAGTTCAGTATACAGAGCGTGTCATGAAGGCACTTACAATCACTATAGTTTATAGTTTACTGAAAGAGGAATTCCACTGATTTAGTGTTTGAGATGTAAACAAAGTCATTCAGAGTGGTTTGGTGTGAAATGGTCCTGTCACACTACCAGAGTGACTTACAACCTGATCATTTTACACAGGTAGGCAAAGGTAGCGTTAGGAGTTTTGCTCGAGGACTCTTTAGGCTACGTTCGCACAGCAGGTAAAAGTGGCCCAAATCCGATCTTTTTCTTCATATGTGACACAGATGTGTGTCAGTGTGAACAGATAAACACACCCAATCTGACATTTTCAATTCTGATTAGAGACGCTTTCGTATGTGGTACTGAAATCCGATACGTATCCGATCTGTGGCAATGCGACTCAGTCTGAACAGCCAGAATTCATGAGACTTTTACGTCAGTCCAACTCGACATTCGTCAAAATACATTTAGGCTGATGTTTCTGTACAAAAAATTAGAAGAGACTCATCAAACCGCTCCGTGTACGTACGAAAGCTGCAGCATCAGAGAACAGTTTAAAGTATTCGAGGACACGAACCAAAGAAGTGGCCGTGGCCGAATAACGCGCCCTTTTTACAGCGAACTCGAACACATTCTGGGTGATGAGTCCAGCTGTCAACCACTGGAACTTCATAATCGCTCCTGTGATGCTGGCGAAGACGAAACTGACCCCTTTGGGAGCGACTGGCGTTCGCTGGCCGTCATGATTGTTTACCTCTGGACGAGCCACGTGAAGCTCTGTTCTTTTGCGCATGCGGGTCGGTTTAGGAGCTGATCTGTTCAAACAGATCACATTTAAAAGATAATCTGAGCAGCCAAACAGAAAAATCAGATTTGGTGAGAAAATCAGATTCGGGCCACTTTTACCTGCTGGGTAAACGTAGCCTTATTGGTATAGTGTAGGGTGCTCGTCCAGCCGGGGATTGAACCCCAGTCTACAGCGTAGAAGGCAGAGGTGGTACCCTCTACACTATACCAACCACAACTCCCATAGTACATCTGGTTCTGATGTCACAGTTACAAGCCCGCCATCAACCAATTGTGGACAGTTACTACACAGTTCCTCCTCTCCTGAATTTCGAATCACTCTCACCTGTTCTGTTTGTTTATATACTGGTTCATTTTGTTCACTCTTTGCAAAGTACTGCCAGTTGCCTTGTCTATTGTGTACTGAGCGCTCTCTCTGTTTTAGCCTCCTGTGTTTTTGACCCTGTTTGGCCCTCGTTTACCGTGTCTGATTTTTCTTTGTACTTTGATGGTTTTGGTGTTTGTTTCTCTGGCTGCTGACCCTTGTTGTTTATGGACTCAGATTTCAGTTTACTGATGTATCTGTTTGTTGCTCTCTTGGTTCTGACCTGGCCTGGATTACTGACTACCCCCTATTGTTAATAAAGCTGACTTTGTTTACTTCGGCAGCGTCTGCCTAACGTGACAGGTCCATTGTAGAGAAACATACTAACTTAGATTTCTCTATTTTAATTACCACCCAAAATGACCAGTGAACCTACCCGTTTCTTATGAGGTTTTATATGTAATGTTGAAGATGGTAAAATAGTGATAAATCTGAAAAAAAAACAAAATGTACCATGAATGGAGTAAATAAAATTCACTTTAGAACAAAAAACATCTGTCATAAAACAGTGTTTCAGTTATCAGGCAGTGAATTCATAACCACTTCATGTAGTAACTTTATGTGAAAGAAGCTTTTAGAGGTGGACGTCTGGTTCCTATCACCACCACTGTGAACAAGTTTCTCTAGAACGGAGCGTTTCACACCAAACCACAAAAGCGCTTTTAAAAAATAGTGGAATTGCCATCTAGATATTTGAAAAAACTCCACAAAACTGATAGAATATGCGAGATTAACTTATTTTTCTGCATTACTGCAATGTTAACACCTGAGACCAAACACAGCGCTGTGACACACCTTGATCTGGTGTTGACAGAGCAAACAGAAGGTCACTTGTTAAATACATTATTATATCTCTCCTCCTTCCAGCGTCCCGGCCTGTCGTTCTCATCGTTCTCCACCACACGTTTGACCCAAATTTCGTTGCTCCAGAAAGCGGACTGTGTGTTAACAGGGCTAACATGTTCACTGTGGACTGCCTGTTCTATGAAGACCAAGGTCTGCTGAGATGTCTGCGCAACGACGAGGCGCTGAAAGCAGTCACTGACCACCTGATCTCTAAAGGAGGGTTGCCTAAATCACAGGAAGGTTATCACCTGGTAATAAAAAATAAAACTACATTTCCACCATTATGTACTGTTCAGGAATATCACTGTCACCTTATTATTTAGGTCGTTTTTCCACTGCACAAAGTACCAGAACCTTCAGCATCAGAAAACTGGAACTGTGCTTTTTCCATTGGCCTTCAGTCCAATGGCAACCAGAAATACTACTTATTTCCCACACGCATTGTGTTTCACTCACGAGCTATTTCTCCACCACACAGGGTTGCCAGATTCTAATTTTTTCCTAAAAATGCAGGTTATTCTGTAAGTGCAGTGCAGGGGGAGATGGCACTCTCGCGGGGTGCGTTTTCTGCTTGGACTACTTTTTAAAGTGAGCAGAGTCGTAAATAAAAAAACATGTAAAAAAAGAAAACAAATGATCATGTAAATGTATATCGATGTATAGCTGGCAACCTGTTCTGTTTCTGACAGCAGTGGAGCAATCTAGAACATAGAACTTTGAGTTTCTTCCCAGAGTTTCTTCTAGAGTGAGCGACAGCATCTGCGCCCACTCAACCAGGTCTGCACCCTAGCAGACACACATTTTGTCTATTATACGTAATTTTTTGTAGAGCGACGCTTGACGCCTGGACTGTAAATTAGCCTTTACTTCACCAATCAGAGCAGCAGAACGTGAAATAGAACGGTACGTTCAGGTGTCGATTGCTGTTTAAGTAGTAGAACACAGAGGGAGTGTGTTATCGCGAAATAACATCACGGCTGAGATTTGGTCGCCGTAGGTCATCACGGCCATGATGTTATTGGCGATAACACACTCCTCGAATGTTCTGTTGCTTTTATACAACAGTTAAATAGATAAAGTAATAGATTAATAAACTGCCTCATCTTCAGAGTCTGACCAAATCGGCTGTCGGTCAAATGTGATCTTAAAAGTGTCCATTTTCTGTTTGTGGCAATGTAATTAGTAAAATCATTCAAATAGCTTGAGCGTCTCCTACAGCTGTCAAAGTTGTTGCTTAGCAACAGCGTCTCAGCGGAGTGATACAGTGTTTGTAAAAAATCCGTGATGTTGTGGTGAAATAACAGCACGGTTAGAACACTTCTCAACCAATCAGCTCGCGTGGCCGAAACTAACCGTTGTAAAATTTGAGATTTATTTGTAAAGACTTTGCTACAGTGACTTAACCTGGTTACTAAGCTAACGCTACTAGCTTTACGCTAGCCTTCTCAGAATCTCTGTATTTTCCTACTAAACAGAGGAAAATCTACTCTACTCTGATTTCACACGGCTCAGTGTAGCTGTAGACATTAGTGTGAGCAGAAAGGTGCACTGTACTATTTCATATCAGCCAGCAAGTTAAAACTACACTCTTAAAAAGATGGTTCTTCAGGGGTTCTTTAGTAAATAAAATGTTTCTCATAGAACATGAACACTCAAAGAAGCCTTTGCATGATTGAGTGCGTCTTTACATGGTGAAATGGTTCTCCATATTGATGGAGAATGTGCTGTGTGTGGTTCTTTATAGCCCAAAAAATCTTCTGTTGTAACAAGCTTGACATTGTAATAATAGAAGAGCCCTTTTTGGTGCTACATAGAACCGTATACAACACATTCTCCATCAATCTGAACACCCTTTTCACCAAAAAACCCTTTAATCATGCAAAGTTTCTAAAATGTTTCTAAATAGAACCATTTTCTTTACTAAAGAACCATCTTTTTGTAAGAGTGAAGCTTTACATCGTAACTATAGAACCGTTATTGGTGCTCTTAGCAAAAAAAGGGTCTATATAGTACCAAAAATGTTGTTTTTGGCTTGTAACAATAGTAGAACGTTTGGTGCTATATAGAACCCTTTTCAAAAAGGTTATTTATAGAACCATCTACAGCACACTCTCCATCAATCTGAACAGCCATTTCACCATGCAAAGGCTTCTTTGAGTGTTCATGGTTCTATATAGAACCATTTTCCTTACTAAAGAACCCTTGAAGAACCATCTTTTTAAGAGTGAGCAAGCAAGGTAGCTTATTAGCCAAACCAGATGCTTTATAGACTTTATAAAAACAATATTTGGCAAAAAAATATATGGTAAAAAATATAGAATATAAAAAAGACGTGTCCGTCAGGCTCTGTTTTAGCTGAGTGATTTTTAAATATGCATAATGATCATAAAACTTACCAACTAATCACTGCCAATTCATAAAGAAGGCACTTTTAGTCAGCTATTTTGTTTTAATCGAGTTTAAACGGGACAACGTTAAAATGCTTTGGAGAGCTGATTTCCTAGATAATGCTCGCAGTGCCAAGTGGAGTCTGAGACACGCGTGTTTTACAGTGCTTTGCTCACTGTGTGGTCACTGTATAATGTTTCCTGCCCTCCTGTCTTCCCTGATTGTGTCTCACTGCTCTTGTTGTTTTCCCTGCAGATGAATTATCCTGCAGTCACCAATCAGTGCTGTACAAAGAAAACAAGGAATCTCTGGATAATTATCGGGCTCTTTGTTGGGGCAGCCTGTGGAGTGCTTTTAGGGATCTGTAATAAAGCTGGGCAGGTCTTCCTTGGGGCACCTCTTGGGGCGGTGACCGCGTACCTGCTTCACTTCCGTCTTTCTTACGGAGAACCATCCACAGCCAGTTTGACCTACTGACAGTTGTGATGCCTGTTAAACTTCAGCAGAGTGATGATCTGAAATGCGTGTATACAGATTACTGAGTGTCCTGTATGATCTTATCTAGTAGAGCTTTTGCTTATGTTTACAATCTTCTATAATCAGTTATGATTCTCATGCTTATTGAAATGCAGTTTGCAGTGCTCTAACTTTTTGTCTTGGGGGGCCGTGGTGGGCCAAAGAGACACATATACAGATGAAGAAATTAGTTAGGCTCCAACCAGAGCTTTTAAAAATGTATTTTGTAACATTGAGCTATATTTTGTTACCAAAGTACTTGAAATCTACATTTTTAAAGTAAATTAAGAATTTATATAGGTTTATATAAAATGGGTGAGGGGGTGGGCTTAGGGTAATGTTCTGGAAGGCCAAATCAAAGTTTAGCCTGCTGGCCACACTTTGGACAGAGCTGTTTTAAACTCTTTTACATGTAAATCATCATCGTGTCTTGTGCAGTTCTTGACATTTACGTTAAAAATAAATCTAGTTATAAACACTCATCCTGGGTTTTGTGTGTGTCTCAGTAACATAGACAGCTCTGATGAGATTCGCCTAAAAGTCCTTTCACTGACCCAGCTCTTGTGGTGATTTGGGCCTTTGACTCACCACAAAAGTGAGGTCTGAACTGGAACAATATTAGGAAAGATCTCAGAATTACAGGTGAGACTTCACAAAGATACGAACACAGAAAAGGACAATTTGTTCACAGTCTGAACTGATAGCATAAAGAGACGCTGGTGAAAACAATGAAAATGAGCTTTTTATATTGCTGATGTAATCTAGCCCAGTGGTTCCCAACTCGGTTCTTAGGGCCCCCAGATGGTCCACGTTTTTCCTTCATGCTTAAGTGTTGTGAATTTGGTTGTATCAAAAACGTGGACCGTCTGAGGGGCCGGATTATTATGAAACACTGTGGAGACTCTCGACAGCATTATGGGGTGAACAGTGACAGAGCAGCACTTTTCTATCATGTATAAACTTTATCAGATGATTCATAAAGGAATAATATGAAGTAACAATATACAATATTAAAAGAAAACATGGGGTGAATTTCAATAAAACATTCCCATGTGTAAAAGTCAGCCGATATCAGGTGGAATAAAAGTGTTAGATGGGCTCTAACGAACGTTTATTAGCACTTACTAATTAATGGTACACATTAAAGTATTTTAATTAAGTGGGGCTGTAATTTGCTGCAGTTTGACTGATCTGTATACGAAAAAGTGAAAGTGAAAATATTTCTATTCCAGTCAGCCTGTTTCCCACCCGTATTCCGTCAAGAAGCCTCCTGGCTTTGTGACTGGCTAATAACTCACGCTCACAAACAACTCCTCTAGCGCAGGAGGGCGGGGCTTGCCCGAATACGGGTGGAGAAAAGACGACGCAGTCAGAGAGAAGCAGAACACAGCCGGACTGCTGAAGCTCGCCCGACGACATGCCTGCAGGTCTGTGGGTCCTTTTCACGCTTTGTCGACTGAGGTGTAAAAGCTTCTGTAGCCTGAGAAGAACGAGAGAATGAGGATTACTGGACCGGTGGAACCGGACCTGTCCATGCAGGCCTAACGTTAACCTACACTGGAGAGGGGGTTGGACCTCTGCGTGCCAGGTGACGGGCGGAAGTGGCCGCTCTTGTGGCAGCAGGAAGGAGCCACTTTTATTAGTGGCTGCCACTCTTAAAAAAGATGGTTCTTCAAGGGTTCTTTAGTAAAGAAAATGGTTCTATATAGAACCATGAACACTCAAAGAACCCGCTGCATGTTTAATGGGTTCCTTGCAGCATAAAAGGGTTCTTCACATTGATGGAATTGCATAAATGTGCTGTAGATGGTTCTATATAGAACCTTTTTGAAAAGAGTTCTATATAGCACCCTTAAGGGTCTTCTATTGTTAGACACACTTCTAGAAAGATGGTTCTTCAAAGTTTTTCAGATTGGTGGAGAATGTGCTATAAATGGTTTTATATAGAACCTTTTTGAAAAGGGTTCTGTATAGCACCCAAAAGGGTTCTTCCATTTTTACAGTGTCAAGTTTATAACAATAGAAGAACCATTTTGGGTACTATGTAGAACACTTTTCAAAAAAGGTTCTGCATAGAACCATCTATAGCACATTTTCCATCAGTCTGAAGAAGCTTTCATGATGCAAAAAACACTTTAATCATGCAAGGGGTTCTTTGAGTGTTCATGGTTCTATATAGAACCATTTTCTACACAGATTGTACGCACTGATCTGTAGGAGACTGAGGAAGTGAGATTGTACAGCGCTGAATTAACTCTTACAGCGCTGGAATCGATCAAACGACATGTTTTGTTGCGAAAAGAAGTTAAAACATCTACAGAGACACGTCTGCACTGTTTAATGCACAGCAACTGTTTAGTTGCTGAATTTAACATATTGGGAAAAAATAAAACACAAAATATGGCTTGTGCAAAAGTAGTTATGACTCATTTTTTTATTTTATGCTTTAATGTTTTGAAATATGTTGAGCACAACAATAGAAATTTAGCACTAAAATTAGCACAAAAATTGGCATATTTATGATGTCACAAATATTTGCCCACAGCTGTATTTTTGTATTCTGTATTGTAAATATATGCCTAAACATGCTAATAAAATGGTACAGTTAGGCTGCAGAGTCTCTCTTGCTAACTCAAAATAATGATAATAATAATACTGTAACAAGTTCTTAACCCTCTGTTTTACAGTGTTGCCTCAGGGCAACAAACTCATTTTCCTCACTTTACAGTAAACATTATACATGTTTAATGACCATGACAGGGTTAACAATAAAGGGCAGAGTTTGAGTAAAGCAGGTACTTGGCCATACTATGTCTTAGTGGACGCTTTTAAACCTCTTTCATTCAGTATCATTTGTTTTTGTTAGGAGAATTTACAGAAATATGATTGTTGCCTAGAGGCAACATTGTGCGACAGTGGAAGTAACCAGTCACAAGCCAGGTCTCTCCACTTCAGAGAACACAGCTCTCTATCATTTCTTCCCATTGTCGCACAATGTTGCCTCAAGGCAACATACATCAAAAGGGCAGCTGCACACATTATTATTTAAAAAATGTTTTGGAATTTAATAATTAGGTCCACTCTATGCAAGAAAAGTGAATCAAATGTTTTTTTTAGAAAGTTTTCATAATGCGTGCAGTAGAGGGTTCTGCAGCACGATTTGCATCCCTCAGCCTCGTTGGTTTGTTAGACTCCTGTAGCACCACTTTACGAGGCGAGTGTGCATGTTTATAACAGATGTAGTAATTATTACTTTATTCAATTTGCCTGGAGTGTCTCTCTAACTCCCATGTGTCAAACACAAGGTCAATTTAGGCCTGTGACACAGTCCTATTCGGCCCACAATGTTTTCTATTCCTATTAGCCCGTTTCACCCTGATCTGCACTACAATGCCCAGCATGCACTGCAACATAGTATGCAACTTTCTGTTGGAAGCTCTGTGACTCTTCGTTCTCTCACAGACTTTACTTTTACCTGAGCAACAACCAGAAAGTTCTCAATGAAGCATCTGAACAACAAACTGAATAACAAATGTTCTCTGATCTGCAGCTGTGTGTGTTTGTGTCCAGGATCACGCCCTGATGAAGTACTTCATGAGGGCAGAAGGGAAACCTTTTAATTCTCACATGAATTTTTTGGAGCGTCTCACAGCACATCTTCAACTCCATAAAGCATCTTCAGAGGAGGAGAGCGACGTCATTATTGCCTTTGTCGCTGTTACGTCTCGAGCTGGAACAGACATTAAAGCTGCTCTTCAGGGAATTCCAGAAAGTAAGACACTCCTTCAGTTATTATTCAGAGCTGTGCAGTTATGAAGACATGAAGGAAGACTCTGTTCTCAACTTTACTTTAAGTAGATTTAGAAATAAAAACCTAAAATTACTGTAAAAATGTTTTTGTGCTTTAAACATCATCCTTACACTGGAGGCACATTTTAACATGGAATTTAGTTCTTTTTGTTCTTTTTTTCTGATTTTATTATTTTTGAACTCATCTGCTCTGTTTTGCAGTTCATTTCTCCATTTTGGATTATTGCCAGGGATATTTGTTAATTTTCTTTTTTTCTGATTATTTTAAACTGCACAGGACAATTAGTGAAATGATCTAAAACTGTATTATTTTTTATTCTGTTATTACTGTTGTGTTAAAAAACCCCTCAAACCAACTACAACTACAGCCTGAAGTGCTGTTTGCCAGGCTGCAACTGTAAATGAGAATATGCTCTTAATGACTTACCTGGTTCTCCAGGGTATATTTTGGTTTGTCCATCAGAATTTAAATGACCAAATCATAAGGCAAATTATTCAGTAACTGCATGAAATAAATGCAAATTTTCATTTATTTATTTTTTGTAAAAGCTCCCCTCAAATTAACAGAACATGTGTTTTATGATACACATATTACTGTATGCTTACAATTTACTGCTGAAAGCCAAAAATCTTAGACGCTCTTTGTATTATTTTATAAAAATATTTTTTTGTGGAAAAATGGGTCGACTTTCAGTAGAAAAAAATTATGAGTTCAGCTTCTTTTATTATAAGGGTTTAAAATTACATCACCCATCTATTTGACTGGAAAGAAGACAGTTACAGCTTTCATATGACCCCCACCTTTAGAATATAGCTTATGAAATATGAAAGTTATGAAGAATATGACGAAGTGCGTTTTGGAACCACTGGTGGTCTCAAGGAGTTTAAGAGGTTAAAGGTTAAATAAAAAATCTTTGATCTGATATTAATGATGACCCTCTCATTTATCTCTCTCGCTCCTTTCCAGCCCCCCAGCCTGTTGTTCTCGTGGTTCTCCACCACACGTTTGATCCGACTTCCATTGCTCCACAGAGCAGACTGGGTGTTGACAGGACTGATGTGTTCACTGTGGACTGTCTGTTTCATGAAGACCAAGGTCTGCTGAGATGTGAGCGCAACGATGTGGCACTGAAAGAAGTTACTGACCATCTGATATCTAAAGGAGCATCAGAGGCTGTTTTGGTAAGTTTTAAAAATAAAATATTATTTCTATTATTTTATGTTAATTACAGTTAGAGATCTTCATTCGTTTCACTCGAGCCATCAGTGCACACACTGAAGTGATATGATGACCTGACGTGGCGTCTTATGGTTGATCCTCTATTTTGGGGGAGTCGGTCAGTCTAGACTGCTTTCCTTGGTTCTGCTTGATCTCTAGCTCAGACTCTCACTGAATATGTTGGCAGAGCTGATCAGCATGTGGATCTGCAGGACCAGATCAAAGAAAAGCAGAGTCAAATATGTGGACTCTTAGTCAGTCAGAACACAGGAAGCATCACCGTCACATCAACCTCAAACTCATTTTATACTATAATCATAAAGATTTAATGGAATAATAATTCACCATCATTTACTGAAGTTATAGTGTTTTGTATCACTAACTAGCTCTTTACAAGTTAAAGTAAGACTACACTACTAACATTAGCTGAGGTAACAAGATTAACCTGTTTAC